GCGGGCATTCGCGCGCCGCCCCCGCCGCGCGGGCAGCCGGGACATGGAGTCCGCGCCCCGGCGCTCCCGGGACAGCGCGGCCGCGGCCCGGCGTGCGGGACGGCTTACTGCCGAATGAACTTCCCGTGCGCGCATCGGGAGCGGGTCACTCCGCGGTGCTCAGCGAAACAGTGAGGCGGAAAACACAGCGGTGTCCGGGGCAGTGCGGCTTCCCCCGTAGCCGGTGTGCGTTAGCGCAGCTGACGGCCTTCCCCAGAGACCCCCTGAGAGAGCCGGCCGGAGTCCTGGCGCGGCGGGGCAAAACCCAATCCCCACCTACAAACGAAGGACCTTGCGGAAAAAACCCGAATTCAGAACATACCCGAGCAAACCTGGGCGGCTTGGTGGCCGTGGTGTGAAGAACACAAGTTTTGTTCAGCTTTCTTTATGTGTTCGTGGAGCTGCTGGGCCCTTTCCCTGCGCAGCCCAGTTTCTGGCATGCATTTGGGTGGAAAATGCACTGCCGGAGCAGGAGCAGCACCTGCAGCCAGCAAAACTCCCCTCACAGCCCTCACTCCCTTCCGTGCCCGGCCGCAGCTTCCCCCACATCCCAAGGGCTTCAGTTCTCTCTGTTAGTAATCGCTGGAAATAGACAAACCATTCCTTACCAGATGATGGCAGGGGAATAAGCCATGAAGCTGCTTGTTTGACATGGCCAGAAGCCGCTAATTGTCTTCTTTGAAGATGTTAAAAAACATTAAGGGGGTAGTTGTGCTACAATTAAATCTGTGACAAATCTGACAGTAGGTAGGGCTGAGATTTCATCCTGACCAGAAGTCTGTGACACACGACTTTGTGCAGTGGGATGTATAACTGGTTCTTATCAGCACCGTGATGGTCCTGCCAGAAAAAAAATTCAGCTAATCAGAAAACACAGTGGTTTTCTGCTTTTCTGATAAAATTCTTTTGAAGGTGCAATTATCAAGGCGAAACTCTAATGTCCAAAGAGAAGGTTTTCATTGTTAGTGACTGCAAATTCATCCCTTGTTCACTCACTCTGAGTGAAGTTTGGAAATGCTGACCTCACCCATCACCTTGAAGTGCCTATGTAATGCTCAAACGTCCAACTTTTTCTGTGCTGATATTTTTTAGAGAGTGTTTAAAAAACTTCACTATATTTTGGATCTTTTATCCCTATGTGTTATGTATTTTATTGTAAGAGTATTTCCATTTTGTTGGGTGGGGTTTTTTTTTCCTGAAAATAGAGGAGACTAATGGAAGGAGAATTTAAATTTTTGCTACTAACATCAACAGTAAGAAGGAAAAAATCAATGTAGTGACTGAGTTTTTCCTTTAGTTACATTTTGCTTCCTAAGTTGTGAAACTAAGTGGCCATGTATTAATGAAAAAAATATACCACTCTATATTAATTTTACTTTGACTTTGAAAACATCCAAAAGTAATTTTCTAATGTGGATTATTGTATTCCATACCAAACTAGTTCAGGAAGTTAAATCTGAATGAGAAATAAAACTTTATGCTGGGGTTAATTATATCTTTCTGAAATACTTTTATTTCTAGTTTTATATGCAAGTCCACCTAAGAAGGATTAAGACGGTGTAAAAAGAGATTACAGTGATAATTACTGGGACAGGGAGCCTACATGGTGGTTAATGTTCTTTTTATTTTTGCATTGTGTAGGATTTGGGGAAGCACAGGCTGAGGAGGAAAAGCATGAGCCAGTCTTGTGTGTGTGGCATCACACATGAGCACTGAGGGAGGCATCTCAGAAGAGTAGGAGTATCAGAGTGACAGAAGAGAGATGGAGGCATTTGGAGGATGCCTGAAAAATACTGCAGTGGCATCAACACTCCCAGTCATGAGCCTCCAGGCTTGGAAGTGTAGATTACACAGTCAAAATATGAGTGTGATTTGGAGAATTGGAAATCTACTTGTAGAATTGGAAAACTGGGGTGACATTATACTTATGTGAAATATGCTCTCTCAGAATAATAAGTTACTATTTGAGTTATGTTATCACTGTTATTTTTCAGTTCTCAGGGTTGCTTTTTAAAACTAGTAAAGTTTAAATACAAAGTAGTTTTAAGTTATCACTATGAATTAACATAGAAGTTTAGTTCCAATAAGCAAATAAGGAGCATTTATCACATGTCAAGTCTTTCCAGCTGTGATAATTAAAGAATATTTGATGAAGAGGCATTATAGTCACAAGACACACAGATATTTTCCCTGGAAAATGTGATGAGAGCTGGGTCCCAGTGGCAGGCTTCAAATGTAAAATGATTGAAGGAGGTGCTTCCCCAGAGCACTGCATGGAGATATGGGTGGGCAAAGGAGTGGGCAATTAAAGCAGGACTGGTTCTCTAAGGCCTGGTGGAACTGATGTCCCAGTGCTCTGTCAGGGTGGAGAACAAAACATGTGATCTATACATTTCTTGAACACATTACAGGAAGACTCAAGGAAAAAAATTAAGATTAATATAAATGTATTTGTTCCTGAGGCATAAGAATAGAATGAGCAGTAAGGATGCATGCACTTATTCCAAGGGGATAAAAACAATAAACTACTTGTGTCCTGATAGGGGTGATGGAGTTTCTGGGAAAGAATGGTTTTGAGCAGCTGGACTTACTACCTTGAATGTAGAAAATGGATTAATGATCCTCTAGGTATTAGTTACTTTCTAAATAAATTAATTAATTTAAAAAGCCAATTTAGGGAAAACTAGTTTATTTTGACATTTCTGAAGTATTTTAATGCCCATCACTTTTCATGAATAGCATTGGACTCAAAAGTCTTGGTTCACAGACGGGGAGGACGAATAATGACAGCACTTTCCAGTACTTGTGTGGCTGGAACATTCACAGAGGATGTGGGAAAACCAGTTCACATCTCTACTCTGCCCTCAGGGATCTGAACCCACATCTTCACCATGAGATTATATGAAATGGAAGTGCTCTCCCTTCCTGAGGGAAGGGTGAAAGTAGCCTATATTTTCAGTCTTTCTCCCAGTGAAATTGTGGAGGAAAAGTAACATAAAAACTTTGTGAGCTGCAAATCAGCAATGCTTTGTTTCCATCTTTTTCAGTGGCAGTTTTTACAATCAAGTCTTCCCAGCCTCTTAATTTCTTCTATCTTAAGGATGCTAATTGTTTCAAAAAGAACCAAAAAAGGACATCAAAGAGAAGAATCTGTCCAGTGTGATGACATCATCGTAATAGTCTCTAATGCAATGTAATCTGCAAAAATATTACCGAAAGCATGTAATTGTTTTAATGGAACACTGAAACATGGTGGTGATGTAAAAGGAATAAAATGTTCTTTGTTAGATGTGGAAAAGATTTTGCTATATGTATCTGAATGGCAGACAAACAGGCAGCAGTAGAATGTTTGGGTTGAAATTAAGATTTTCTTCTTCATTAACTATGGAGTCTTATAAGCCATGAAAATGACATAATTTGGTTAAAAAAGTGGGAGTTAGATCCCTGAATTTGCACTGATGCAGTTATTTAGAGTTGGTCCATTATTGCATTCTCCAGACTACACACTGCAGTAATTTAGTAATTAAGGTTACATAGTAATTAAAACTGCTACCCCATAACAATAATTTTATAACTACAGACCTTGGATTCCATTTCTGGAGACTGACACCTTTAAAAGTAGGTACACACCAGTAGTCCCTTTACTTAGTACCCTGTGTATTTTACTGGCTTTGGTTTGCATCTGAAGTCCTAATATTTATATAAATAAACACTTTGCTTTTGGAAAGCAGAGGATTTTTCTACTGCTGGACAAATTAAAGTTGCTCCTCGAGTGCATAGAGACACCCAGCTTGTAGAAGGATTAAAATACTTCACAAATAGGGGCTTGTTGTGGAATTTAATTAACTATCTTTAAGATCATGAGAATTAGATACTGATAAAAGATTTTATTGATTGAAATTGTGTCTTTTACTTGCTAGCTTGTGTTGCAAAATGGCAGGAATAGTTTTAACAGCAGCCGGCATTTCTGATAAACAGTACATTCTCTACCTCCATTCTGGCCAGCAGGTACTGTCTGTATCTGTCCAGAAAGGAGCTGTGTCAGCTCCAGAAAGGAGCTGTTTCTTTTGACACAGGAGGGAAAAGTTAAGAATTTGTAAGTCCCTTCAGACTATCACTTGTGTAATAGTAAAGTGGGAGTTAAATTTCTAGTAGTTAAATGGAACTACTGAAATATTTAGTGAAAAGCAGCAAAGCACTTTATACCTCAATTATCCTGGATGTTATGTGCATGAGTAGAAAGTAAAACAAGCCTTTAATGCTGAGAACAGACAATGCACTTTCTAATAATTGCTATATTCATTGCAACCTCTTTGCAACGTGAGTATCACAAACATACTTAATAATCTAGTAACAAAGATCATTAAATATAAACATAATTTTTTGAAAATCAAAACACCAAAAATCTATTGGTGTTTTAAAATAGATTTTAGTCTGAGCACATTCCTGTGTTATTTGGAATGTATGAATTATTCAATAATCAGAGTCAATATCAAGATAGCTTTAGCAAAGACTACTAGCCACTCTTTCTAGATCGAGTTTCTTAGCTGATTTCTTGCTGCCATGAAGGATTAACTCATAAAATCACTTCGATTTAGCAAGAGATGTCAAAACATCCAGCAGGTCTAACTGGTTTTCTTCCAATGTCATTCAAAATAGTGTGTGGTTTTAGCAGTGGTTCATGTTTCTGTCAGCTGCTATCTATAAACTTGCAGTATAATCAGTTCAGACGCAGTAAATTTAGAATGTTTGGTACTAGTACAAAAACTTTTATGTTTGATTATTTGTGCATCTGCAAAACCTAATAGGCCTAAAGACTAAGACTAGATAGTCTAAAGTCAATTTTCAGGATTAAAATTCCAGCCTTCCTGTATGGGTCAAGTGTGTGTAATTTTAGAACTCTCAACAGCAATATAGCTGTACAGTAGGTCATTTTCAACTTGGGAAATACTGCAGTTTCCTGTAATCTTGTACTGCAGGTATGATAGCCTGACTCATAAACTAAGGTGACCTCAAAGACTGATTGGAGTAGTGTATGCTAAAAATTTACCCAGAGAAAGGCTAAGGTGCATGTGAATTTTTGAGTTAGGAAAAGAAATAAATTTATGAGGAATTATCTATTTCTGTGATGCTGTGTATAGGTCATGGTATGCTGTGTCATTTCATTTTTCTCCTTCTTTCCCCTCCTAAGTCCTGGGAGGGCGTGGGAGAAGATATTTTAGGTATCTTTAGATATGACCTATAAAAGAAATACATCTCTAGAATGAATAAAGTGTTCTTGTCTGTTCCAATGGTTGCCCAACTCCTTTTAATCTCTCCTGCCTCTTGAATACTGTCATGTGGCTTATTTGGGACTCTACTGAACTTCAAGTCAATTTTCTGCTAAGCAGATGAGAGAACAACAACAAAGTCTATTCATACAACATCAAACGGAGCTTTATCTTCAGGACAACATATTGCAGGCAGCATGATACACTTCAGGAAGAGCGAGGAATGCCAAAGCTCTGGCTTGTCTTGCACACAGGGTATTTGGTTTGTGCACAGATCATGTGTTAGGTTGGTTAAGTCAGGCCTCAGTGACAGCAGTATCTAAGATGTTATCAATGAAATTAAAAGGGCTAGTATTCTCTTCATAATTTTGAAGGAGTCTAAAGAATGGTGGTAGGAAAAATGAAGTGATTAATATTAACACTGCTTCAGAAATTTTGACTGAAAGTACACATAGGTTTGCAGTAATTTTCCTATATGAGCACCACAGATAAATATTATCTGTTTGAAGTTTCTTTTTACTTCTCCAGAACATCTAATAAAACAACTGTGACACAAATACCATGAAGTGAGCATCCTCCACACTAGATTTTCTGAAAATTTTATCTCCCTTACTATGGCTTAAGAATGATCTGATAGCAGCTGCACTGAGTCCTCACATTTGCTGTTTCACGTGTTGCTTGAAACAGATTGCATGTGATACTCTTTGTCAGAAAAGTTTTCAAGCCAGTGCAAACGCTCCTTACAAATGTTGATGACTTCATTACAGGGAGATGTTACAAAGAATACTTCAAGTCTGTTTTGGCTACTCACTTCTCTGCAGTGGTCGCCAAGGAGAAAACTTCATTTTGAAGCCATTATGACAACATACTACAAAACAGATACAATTATAACATGGGAGGTAATATAAGAAGGTTGTAAGAACCAGAGACAGCCCTCCTGATTGCTGAAACATGGCAGGTGGATTTTTGCTGAATGACTCCTTTAAATCCAGGATAAATAGTTGTCAGCTACCAGGACATATTCTCAGCAGGAACATAAATTCATATTATAAAGTTATAGTATTTGCCTCTTTTGGAGCCTAACATGATCAGCAAAATGCAGCCTGTGGCTTATCACACAGCCTGACAGGTACTTGAAGTATTGATGTCCTTGCCTTTTTAGAAGGTAGAATAGTCTCCTGGAGGCTTTTCTACGTAAATAGAAACAGTATTTTCTTAGGAGACATAGAAATAATTCTTTTTTGGAAGCAGTAAAAAAAGTAATTGTGGCCAATTTTCTGAAATAACTTGTGAGCTTTCAAGCTCTGTTTGTACTCATAAAGGTGAATGTTACCATCATTACCTAAAAGGTCCCTGAACCTTTGTAGAAGCACAACAAAAAATCTA